CCAAAACTAGAGTAGAGTGGTTGCGGAAACCAGTTAGTGAGAATATGTACAGTGATTGCAGAATAGTGTACTATGTACTATTTAGTTTGGATTTTACTTACAAGAAATACAAATAATGAAATTTTTCACTAATTTGGTGTGGTAGAGCTTGTTCATTTGCTTTACCTGCATATCTGTTCAAGGAAAAAAATGCAGACATTGAAGGTGAGAAATTGCACGTATACAAGCCACGGATGGCAATAGGAGGTTTATCAATATTATTAATGAAATTAGAACAGATTGTGCGCCTTCTCTGCTTCTTTCATTCGTTCAATAGAATATACTAGGAATACTTGAAAGAGGTTTTGTTAAAATTTGGTTTTATGACCCCACTAGGAAATGCAATATTTGCTCTGTATCATCATCCTACAGCTAGAGTGTCAGCCACAGGTTTCATCTCAGAAACATTTCCACTTACTAATACAAGACAGGGTTGTCCCCTTTAATATTTATTCTAGCGATGAGACCTCTGGCTGAACTAATTAGAAATGACCCGATGATAGAGGGTGTTGCGATTGGTAGTGTCACTCATAAGGTCGGACTCTTTGCAGACGATATAATTTTGTCTTTAAGGAATACATTTGCTTTCCTTGAATCCTTGATGAACATATTAAAACAATTTACCTATGTCTGTACAGTTGCCCGTATTCATAGTTTCCCGAAAGAGTGTGTTCCCCTAGCTTTATACTTTCCCTCTCCCGAACGACATCTACCCGCTCTCCCTGGGTGGTCACCATTCATATTACCGAAAGCACACACCCTGATAGACGGCGGCTATTTTGGCCCATTGTTTTGCCTCACTTAAAGACATGCCAGGAGAGCACTAATTGGAGAGAAAGTACTATGGACAATGATGAACAATCACTCCCTAAGAGCCATGAGGAGCACCCTTTTCTTAGACCACAGGAACCACAGGATACTTGACCGGCCAAGACCACTTTTCCTCTGGAACTATTTTGGTATAGTGTAGTATATTATAAATTCTAATTAAATGTAGAAAAACAAATCGCACTTACAATTTTCTGGAGCTTATGCTCAGCTCCAGATTTATGCTCCTGGATGGAACTATCCCCATCTGTGGATATGGTGGTGATTCTTGTGATTGTTTGCAGATGTTTTTTCCACAGTATTCTTGGTAGTTGTGCCGCAGTCCCACAGTCAGATGTCCTCAGTATACAGGAGAGGGGATAAAAAAAAAATATAGTCCTCTCTGTAGGTCTTAAAAGGATAAAAATAAATAAAAAGAGGTATACACACAAACGAAGAGCAAATAAAGGTATTGCTCAATTCAAAGGGCTTAGGTGGTATAATTCCCACAAAGGATATCGCTGCAAGTCCTCCTGGATAAAAACGTCAAAGATAGGTCTGGATACTCCAAATAGGTTAAAATATACTTTTTTTCCATTTATTTATTCTTTATTCATTTTTTGACTATTATTGACAAAAATACAAAAACAGACAAAATAAATCGACCGTACAAAACATAAAATCATGCTAAACAGTCAATTTAAAAACACACATTTCCAGTATGCTCCTTTCCTTTAACTTTATCACTTTGTTATATTATGTTCTAAACATGTTAAACTTTTAATGAATTGTGAACATAGTTAAGAAACACCTTGCTTTTTACTCATCTGTGTCACTATCAATGAAACTCAGCTAAAGTGAATCACTAACTTATCACTTTACTTCATTACTGCAACATCAGTTGCATTTGTAAATATCTGTCAAGAGAGTCAGCAATTCAAAGATTAGAGAAAATTTATTGATACTTACCGTAATTTTCTTTTCCTGGCTATTATTCATGGCAGCATTTAACATATGGGTTTAGCTCCTCCCTCCAACCCTCAGGACAGGAAACACAATCAATTAAACAATTAAGCCTACCTTCCCCTAGTATATTAGGTACCCCAGTATCCCCCACACCTCAGTCTAGTAACAAGACAAGTAAACCAAGAAAGTGTGGGAGACCAAATGCTGCCATGAATAATAGCCAGGAAAAGAAAATTACGGTAAGTATCAATAAATTTTCTCTATTCCTGGCTAATCATGGCAGCATTTAACATATGGGATTCCCAAAGCAATAAACACTCATGGAGGGTAAGTCATGCTACAAAAACTGTTTAATATCCACTTAAGGCTTATAAGAGTTCAGGACCGATAGGCCAAACTCTGAATCAGAACGAGATGAGATATCCACTCTGTAGTGGTGTATAAAGGTTTTTAAAGATGACCAATTGGCAGCTTTACAGATGCTCTCTGCAGGAACTCCTGACTCTGCAGCCCATGAAGTAGCAATGGACCTTGTGGAATGTGCCTTGATGTCCTTGGGAACAGGAACCTGTTTAGCTCTGTAAGCTTTAGAAATAGCCTGAACCGTCCAAGAACGAAGGGTTGCGACAGAGGCAGCTTCACCTTTACGAGAACCCCAAGGTATCACAAACAATTGGGTAGACTTTCTCCAATCAGCTGAGCGTGAAATATATGTGGAAAGACACCTCCTTAGGTCTAGCGTATGACATCTTTCTTCCTCAGGAGACGATGGCTCCTGAAAATACCCTGGCAGGACAATCTCTTGATTCAAATGAAAGGATGTAACCACCTTAGGAAGGAACTCAGGTCTAGGCCGTAGCACAACCCTATCATCGAAGAAGGTAGTGAACGGTTCTTCAGACGACAGTGCTCTAATATCTGACATTCTCCTAGCAGATACCAAGGCCAGTAACAACAGGGTCTTGAGAGAAAGAACCTGCATAGAGACCTCATCAATAGGTTCGAAGGGATGTTCCGTCAAGGCCTGCAGAACCAGAGGCAAATTCCAAGGAGCAGAGAAAACCTTGATAGGAGGTCTGATCCTAATCACTGCTTTGAAGAAGCGAATTACAATAGGATTCAATGCCCAACGAATACCGGAAAGAGCTGAAAGAGCAGAGCAGTGCACTTTAAGCGTGTTAAGTTGAAGGCCCCTCTCCAGGCCTGCTTGCAGGAAACCCAAAACCTGAGACACGGAAGGGGAACCTAATTCTTGAACCGTGGAATTACACCATCGAGCAAAGGTTTCCCATACCTTATGGTACGTAGAAGAAGTAGAAGGATTCCTGGAACGTAACAGGGTAGAGATAACCTGGTCCGAAAGGCCATGTTCAACTAGAGACTTCCTCTCAATAGCCATGCATGGAGCCTGAATTTGTGAGGCTCCGGATGAAACACTGGACCCTGAATCAGCAGGTCTTCTGAGACTGGAAGTTCCCAAGGCAGGTCCACTGATAACCTCTGTAACAGGGGAAACCAAGGGCGACGAGGCCAGAATGGAAGTACAGCTATCACCTTGCAATGTTCCTTGGAGATCTTTCTCAGAACAGCGTGGATGAGGGGAATTGGAGGAAAAACGTAAGCCAGATCGAATACCCAATTGATGGATAGAGCATCCTGAGCAACCGCCTTTGGATGGTATCTCCTCGACACAAAGCATGGAACCTGAGCATTCCGAAAGGTCGCCATGAGGTCTACTTGGGGAAGACCCCACTTCTGGACCAACCGAGCGAAGATCCTCCTGGAAAGTTGCCATTCTGAAGCCTCTATCCGATGTCTGCTGAGGAAATCCGCTATTACATTCTCCTTCCCTGGGAGATAGATGGCACACAGGCCTTCCACATGATTCTGAGCCCAGGTCATAATGGGAACTATCTCTCTCATCAGGGCTACACTCCTTGTTCCGCCTTGATGGTTTATGTAGGCAGCAGCCGCTTTGTTGTCCACTCTCAACTTGACCCAGCAATGCCTGATGAGATGCTGAAAATGAAGAAGCGCCAGAAAGGTTGCTCTTAGCTCCCTGATGTTGGAAGGCAAGCATTGAGTTCTTGGAGGCCAATTTGCTTGAAAAAATTGATTGCCTAAATGTGCCCCCCAACCTGTCAGACTGGCATCTGTCGTAATGACCACCCAATCTATTTCCCGCAAGGGGAACCCTCTGGAGAGATTTTCCCACGACATCCACCAAAATCAAAGGAATGCGAATCAGCGTCTCCCACTCCCTCGAGTCGGTCCTGAAATTTTTTAGGAAAAATTGTTGAAGAGGGCGAAGGTTCCACTGAGCCCATCTGACAAGTTCTATCGTAGAGGAAAGAGTCCCCAGAAGTCTCATAAACTCTCTTGCCGAGGCTGAAGTCTTTAGTCTGAAGTCCCTTATCCGATCTCGAAGTCTGATCTTTCTGTCGTGTGAGAGGGATACAATCGCTGTGTCTGTATTGAAATTTGCTCCCAGGAATATCAGTTCTCTTGAAGGATGCAAGTGACTCTTCTCGTAATTGATGAGCCAACCGAAATGAGATAGAGTGTCTAGGACTAATTGCCTGTGTTGGAATATTGATGCTAGGTCCGGAGCCACTACCAGGATGTCGTCCAGGTAGTGAAACACCGCTACACCTTCTTTTCTGAGCAAAGCAATGATGGTGACCAGAACCTTCGAGAAGGTCCTCGGGGCCGTACTTATACCAAAAGGAAGGGCCTGAAATTGAAAGTGTTCCTTCCGGACACAAAACCTGAGAAACCTTTGATGGGTGAACGTGATAGGGACATGAAAATATGCATCCCTGAGGTCTACTGATATCATCCAATCTTGGTGATGAACAACCGGAATGATGGAGCGAATGGATTCCATCCGAAATTTTCTGACTCTCAGATAAAGGTTGAGCTGGTGGAGATCTAAAATAGGCCTCCATTTTCCCTCTGGCTTCTTGACCAAGAACAGGGGGGAATAATATCCCTGGAATCTTTCTTTTATGGGTACAGGTATGATGGCTTCTTCCGTAAGAAGATTGTTGACATAAAGAGTCAAAACCTCTCTTTTTTGGATGTTGGCTGGAAGCCTTGTGCGAATAAACCTTGGTGGAGGTGGATATTCGTCGAATTCCAGATGATAACCTCCGGTGATAATGGATCTTACCCAAGCATCTGGAATTATTTCCCAGGCCCTCTGAAAGAATGAAAGACGTGCTCCCACTCGAGGAACCTGGAGTAAGCCACCTTCAGAATTGCTTGTTGGGGCGAAAGGAAGAGGTCTGCGTCTTGCCCCTAGAGGATTTCCCATTCAGGCCGCTCTTCCAATTGGAATTCCTTGAGAATTCTCTACCTGGCCTGTAAGTCTTACTTTCCCTAAAGTAGCCTTGATCCCTAAAAGGTCTACGGTCCAGACGAGGTCTCTTTGGACGCCTATCTTGTGGCAGCATGACCTGTTTAACCTCAGCCGCCTTTTTAATCGCTTCATCCAGAGGTTTCCCAAAAAGCACTTCTCCCATAAAGGGAAGTGAGCATAAATTATTCTTGGATGACAGGTCTGCTCCCCAGGATCTCAGCCAAAGCGCCCTTCTAGCGGTGACTGAATGTGCCATAACCTTAGAAAGAATTCTAATGAGGTCAGTGGAGGATTCCAAAAGCCAGTCACTGGCGAGTTTGATATCCCTTAAGGATTCCGCCATCTGACGTCTACTGACCCCTTTATCTATGTCATCCTCCAAGTCAAGCAACCAGGAACGCATGGCTCTAGACAAAGCCGAAATGGACACAGCTGGATGGCAACCTAAACCCGCTGTCATGAAAGCTTTAGATAAATCAGCATCAATCCTTTTATCCATGGGCTCCTTAAGGGAAGCATTGCTATCAATTGGTAGCGTGGATCTTTTAGCAACCTTAATGATAGGAGCATCAACTTTGGGGACCGTAGTCCACAATCTGGAATCCTCCTCTTTAATCGGATATAACTTCGAAAGCCGACCCTGACTAGTAATCCTCTTACTAGGAATTTGCCACTCGTTCCTCATCAGGTCTTTAATAGAGCTGTGGACTGGAAAGGAAGGTCTTTTCTTATGTAAATCTCCAAAGTGTCTGTCAGAAGCTGAACATTCTCTGGTTTCTTCCGGCAAATCCAATGTTCTTCTAACAGCCATAATCAAATGCTCCATAGCTTTGGAGTCCAAGGAGCAAGGTTGTTCCATATACTCCTCTTCACTGGACGAGATTGGCTCCAAATCCAGGTAAGATGAAGTTTGTCTGTATTCATCGTCAGACTGATCTGAATCCATGCTGAAGTTTTCCCCTCTTGATCTCTTAATCTTGTGGGATTCAGCAATTCCTTCAACCACTGCCTGCTTAATCCAATAAGCAATATCCTTGGCTGAGGAGGTAGAGGCTTGCGGTGACCTCTGGCGATCAGATTCTCCTGCGGCCATGTTTAAGCATTTTCTGCAGAGCCTGCAGTTATCCAAAGGCCTTGCTCCACATCCAGGGCAGGCTGCCGGCTTCTCCCTTCTCCTCGATGGGGATCTGGGACAGGACCGGTCACGAGGGCTGTAAGATACAGAAGTCATAAGACTGTACCCTCTGTGCACTCTTTTTAGTAACGTGAAGAAACCAAGAAAAAATATTGCTCACCTATGACCTATAGCAGATCTCGTTGATCTTGCAGAAGGGGATGAAGGATCCATACTGACTGTAGGGCTAAGAATGTTAAAATAATAAGAAAAGTATTCCCAGCCCAATATTATGCTGATTTTAAAATATAAGTAATTCTCTTACCTGCAGAGCTTTAAGAACAGTCTACTAGAGCACTGTATCTTTAAAGGGAACGGAAACGAGCGTTTTTTAAGCTAAATACCGCCATTTCAAATTTCCCGCTCTGTACCTTTAAATGATCGCGCATGCGCACTTCGGTCGCGAGATCGCTAAACCGCCATTTTGGAAAGGGGCAAACTTCACTCTGGGTCCGGTCGGATGCATTGCGCATGCGCGGGCGTCTTACCGTTATGCTGATCGTCTGATCGAGGTCTGCAGCACACACTGGACGGCAGAGGATTCACATAGCCTGTGGAACTAACCACCCAGGCTCCCAGGGGTTCCCAACTCCATGGAGATTGGGCTACATGTGCCTGGGCTTCCTGAGGAGGGAGGCTGACCTCCAAAGGGACAAGACCATATAAAACATGGTCAGGTGAGCAAAAAATAAAAAATAATTCAGAAGAAACTGAAAAAAGAAAAAAAAAAAATTTAAACTGTCCTAGGGCTAGGAGGACAGGAAAAGACTGAGGTATGGGGGATACTGGGGTACCTAATATACTAGGGGAAGGTAGGCTTAATTGCTTAATTGATTGTGTTTCCTGTCCTGAGGGTTGGAGGGAGGAGCTAAACCCATATGTTAAATGCTGCCATGATTAGCCAGGAAATAGAATATATAACCTATACAATATATACAATGTTACATAATAGTGTTTTATTGTTATTATTATATAGACTAATATATTACTACATTACCTATATAACATATACAGTATTACACTATAAAGTATTATTATATAAAGTAACATGTTATCTTTATATTATATACAATGTATTAGCATAGACCAGAGTATTATTATATTAAATAAGCGCTGTACTACCTATGCAATATATATTACAGTTAATATAGTTACATTGACTGATTGCCATCTGCTGTAAATGACCTATTTAGACAGGAATTTACAAAGGAGATTTTCATTTGCTTTGGGGTGTAGATAATGTTTATTGTTACTGAGGTTTGTATACAGTATATACTAAGTATTATTATATAAAGTAATGTGATTGCAGGGTATACATTGTCAGTACGGTGGCACTGAGAGGGTTAATATGAAGCAGATTTTGTTTGTGAGTCAGTAATGTGCTATTAGTGGTTTCAACATTTTTCCACAAGTGAACATTTCTGTGCCTGCAGCCAGACAGGATGAATTAAACTCAGCTCCCAAAACCGACAGGAGACATGAGACTGACCGACCCAATATACCCAGCCCATACCTTTTTACCAGATCCATTTATACCCATCCAATACCTGTTACCAGATCCATTTATACCCATCCAATATCTGTTACCAGATCCATTCATACCCAGTCCATACCTTCTACCGAATCCATTTATACCCATCCCATACTTTCTACCAGATCCATTTATACCCAATCCATATCTGCCACCAGATCCATTTATACCCAGCCCATACCCTAAACCAGATCCATTTATACCCAGCCCATACCTCCTACCAGATCCTAATATACCCAGCCCATACCTTCTACCAGATCCATTTATACCCAACATATACCCCTACCAGATCAATTTATACCCAGCCCATACCTTCTACCAAATCCATTTATACCCAGCCCATACTTCCTAACAGATCCATTAATACCCAGCCCATACCTTCTACCAGATTCATTTATACCCAGCCCATACCTTCTACCAGATTCATTTATACCCAAAATATACCCCTACCAGATCAATTTATAGCCAGCCCATACCTTCTACCTGATCCATTTATACCCAGCCCATACCTTCTACCAGATCCATTTAAACTCAGCCCATACCTTCTACCTGATCCATTTATACCCAGCCCATACCTTCTACCAGATCCATTTATACCCAGCCCATACCTTCTACCTGATCCATTTATACCCAGCCCATACCTTCTACCTGATCCATTTATACCCAGCCCATACCTTCTACCAGATCCATTTAAACTCAGCCCATACCTTCTACCTGATCCATTTATACCCAGCCCATACCTTCTACCTGATCCATTTAAACTCAGCCCATACCTTCTACCTGATCCATTTATACCCAGCCCATACCTTCTACCTGATCCATTTATACCCAGCCCATACCTTCTACCTGATCCATTTATACTCAGCCCATACCTTCTACCAAATCCATTTATACCCAGCCCATACCCTCTACCAGATCCACTTATACCCAGCCCATATTTCCTACCAGATCCATTTATACTCAGCCCATACCCCCTACCAGATCCATTTATACCCAGCCCATACCCTAAACCAGATCCATTTATACCCAGCCCATACCTCCTACCAGATCCTAATATACCCAGCCCATACCTTCTACCATGATCCATTTATACCCAGCCCATACTTCCTACCAGATCCATTAATACCCAGCCCATACCTTCTACCAGATTCATTTATACCCAACCCATACCTTCTACTAGATCCATTTATACCCAAAATATACCCCTACCAGATCAATTTATAGCCAGCCCATACCTTCTACCGAATCCATTTATACCCAGCCCATACTTCCTACCAGATCCATTTATACTCAGCCCATACCTTCTACCTGATCCATTTATACCCAGCCCATACCTTCTACCTGATCCATTTATACTCAGCCCATACCTTCTACCTGATCCATTTATACCCAGCCCATACTTTCTACCAGATCCATTTATACTCAGCCCATACCTTCTACCAGATCCATTTAAACTCAGCCCATACCTTCTACCTGATCCATTTATACCCAGCCCATACCTTCTACCTGATCCATTTATACCCAGCCCATACCTTCTACCTGATCCATTTATACTCAGCCCATACCTTCTACCAAATCCATTTATACCCAGCCCATACCCTCTACCAGATCCACTTATACCCAGCCCATATTTCCTACCAGATCCATTTATACTCAGCCCATACCCCCTACCAGATCCATTTATACCCAGCCCATACCCCCTACCAGATCCATTTATACCCAGCCCATACCTTCTACCAGATCCACTTATACCCATCCCATACCTTCTACCAGATCCATTAAAACCAAGCCCAAACCTTCTACCAGACCCATTTATACCCAGCACAGGGCTGGATTAACATAGGGACTGATGGAGCTGCAGCTCCAGGCCATGGCCCAGGCCATGGAATTTTTTTTTTCCACACTACTCTTAGGTTTGCCACCTGACTGGTATTTTAAGGCACAGCCGGTATTTGAGGCCGCCTGGCCATGATGGTATTGCAGTAATACCGGCAATATAAATGCAAATATTTTTCTCAGAATAAACGGAGATTACTCTGCAATACCAGCACCGGCCAGTAGGGGTCGCTGTGTGTGTGCAGACAGGCAGGGATAGGAAGTTACAGCATATCCCTCCCTGCCTCTCTCTAATCACTGATCCGCGTGGGAGCAGCTACACAGCACAGAGAGTCCAGACAGCAGCTCCCAGCCTGCAGAGACAGCCTACAGCTCAGGGAAGTGAAGGATGGGGGGAAAGGCAGCAGGGAGACATGGGGAAACTGGGACGCTAGTGGACACATGGGGACACTGAGACACTAGGGGACACTGAGACACTAGGGGACACTGGGAGACTAGGGAACTGGACGACATGGGGACACTGACACTGTGATACATAGGGACACTGATGCCAGGCTGGCCTTCCAATTCTTTGGAGAGACATGCCCCCCTTTTGGGCATGTTCGCCCCGTTTGGCAGTTCTGGTCACGTGATTTGCGTCAGTGGCCCACTCTTTTACCCCGCCCATTGACTTCCTGCTTCACTAGACACTGCTGTTAGGGGTTATGGATTTAATTGAATAAGGAAAGCATAAATTAGAGAGAGATTAGCATCGAGTATGTGTTTTCTTATAGTTGCATCCTTTGAGTTTCCCTCCAACACCAACTCCATCAGACGCTTGAGAGGTATGACTGTTTTAGTGTTTTTGGTTGATAAGATTCTGTAATTAGGCCCCATCATGATTGTCAGCACCAGGCCCACAGGGCTCTTAATCTGGCTCTGACCCAGCATATACCTCTACCAGATCCATTTATACCCAGCCCATACCTGTTACCAGATAAATTTATACCCATCTCATACCTTCTACCGGATCTATTTATACCCAGCCCATACCCCTACCAGATCCTAATATACCCAGCCCATACCTTCTACCAGATCCTAATATACCCAGCCCATACCTGCTACCAGATTCATTTATACCCAGTCCGTACCCTCTACCAGGTCCATTGATACCCAAACCAGCCCATACCTCCTACCAGATCCTAATATACCCAGCCCATACCTTCTACCAGATCCATTTATACCAAGCCAAATCTGCCACCAGATTCATTGATACCAAGCCCATACCTTCTACCAGGTCCATTGATACCCAACCCATGCCTTTGTCCAGATCCATTTATACACAGCATATACCCCCTACCAGGTCCCTTTATACTCAGCCCATAACCTTACCAGAGCCCTTTATACCAGCCCATACTTCCTACCAGATCCATTAACCCACCACATCACTCCCTACTAAATCCATTTATACTCAACCCATACCCCTTACCATAGTTACATAGTTACATAGCTAAAAAGAGACTTGCGTCCATCAAGTTCAGCCTTCCTCACATATGATTTTGCTGTTGATCCAAAAGAAGGCAAAAAACCTAGTCTGAAGCGCTTCCAATTTTGCAACAAACTAGGAAAAAATTCCTTCTTGACCCCAAAATAGCAGTCAGATGGCTCCTTGGATCAAGCAGTTATTACCCCACTAATTTGAAATTATATCCCTGTATGTTATTGCAAGTATTTATCCAATTTCAGTTTAAACATCTGTATGGACTCTGACAAAACCACCAGATCCCTTTATAGCTAGCCCCTACCTTCTACCAGATCCCTTTATACACAGCCCAAACCCCTTACCAGATCCCTTTATACACAGACCAAACCCCCTTACCAGATCCCTTTATACACAGCCCGAACCCCCTTACCAGATCCCTTTATATATATGTTATCACCCTCCATTAGATCCCTTTATTCATAGTCCCACATATTCTACTGGATCTTTTCATATACAGCTACTATATCTTTATATCCAAACTCTCTAAAATATTCCTTTATTTACAACCCCATTCCTTCTACCAGACCATTTTTATTTTTGCACAACTCCACACTCCACATTCTAATAATAATAATAATAAGTTGGACTTTGGAAAGAGCAGTGTCTAGAAACCAGCCATGGACTGTATATGAGCAGTGACAGTGTGGTTGGTTAACCACTTAAGAACCACATGACGGTCTATGCCGTCATGCAGTGCAGGGCTGTAACGCCCAGTGATGGCATAGACTGTCATGCAGTAAATGTGTCAGCAGGGGTTATATTCCTGCTGGTACCAAGGGCACCAGGCTGACAGATGATCTATGTGTAGCGCTCAGAGGTAGCTCTGCTCATGGCCCCCTTTAAATACCTCAATTGAGTGTTCCTACTGAGCTGTGTTAATTCTAACACTTTTTCCAGCCTGCAGAGTTAAATAAAAGGTAACCCCCAAGTATTAGGGGTTGTATCATGAGTTGGATTAAAGAAATGATTTGGGGCACTATTAGGTGAGAAGGTATACATGTAGGTATCATTGTTCCCGGGAACAGTAGCAGAATACAAATATGAGGTGTTTGCAGTAGTGGGTCATTTGCGGTCTGTGAATTTCCCCAAAATCAAATGTGTGTGGGAAACAAAAACACAATAAATTAAGATGCTCGTAGTTACATAGCGTGGGAGGTTTACTTTCTGCAAATATATACTTTTGTGTTTTGGATTATGTGATTACTACTAAGGTTGTACTATCAGAGTGCCAAATTATGCAATGTTTTAGCTTTAAAACTGTAATTCACACCTTGCAGTTGTTAGCCAAGTAATCGAATAACTACTAGGTTCAAAGAAGAGTTTTATTGATCATCTGAAGCAACTGTGATCACAGTGAGATCTTAGCAAGCAAAGTCTAACATAGTAATAAAAACATTAATTTTTATACAATGCGGAATGGGGAATCGGAACAAGAGCCACCTCCTAATGTGGTCATTGTTTTTACAATTAAAGTTTAAAGGAACACTATAGTCACCTAAATTACTTTAGCTAAATAAAGCAGTTTTAGTGTATAGATCATTCCCCTGCAATTTCACTGCTCAATTCACTGTCATTTAGGAGTTAAATCACTTTGTTTCTGTTTATGCAGCCCTAGCCACACCTCCCCTAGCTATGATTGGCAGAGCCTGCATGAAAAAAAAAAAACTGGTTTCACTTTCAAACAGATGTAATTTACCTTAAATAATTGTATCTCAATCTCTAAATTGAACTTTAATCACATACAGGAGGCTCTTGCAGGGTCTAGCAAGCTATTAACATAGCAGGTGATAAGAAAATCTTAATTAAACAGAACTTGCAATAAAGAAAGCCTAAATAGGGCTCTCTTTACAGGAAGTGTTTATGGAAGGCTGTGCAAGTCACATGCAGTGAGGTGTGACTAGGGTTCATAAACAAAGGGATTGAACTCCTAAATGGCAGAGGATTGAGCAGTGAGGCTGCAGGGGCATGTTCTATACACCAAAACGGCTTCATTAAGCTAAAGTTGTTCAGGTGACTATAGTGTCCCTTTATTGGGCAGACAAGATGGGCCGAATGGTTCTTATCTGCCGTCACATTCTATGTTTCTATGTTTAAGTTAACGTTACCATTAAAAGTATTTATATTTTAACTTCTTAAAATTATTTTAAATCCTAGACACATTGGGCAATTTAACAACCAGGACTAATTAGTGAATCTATTTTGAGTTAGTTTTCTTTATCTGCACTTAGTGTGTAGAAATTATTAAATAAAAAACTTTTTTTAACCAATTTTTTAAATATTTAATATTGCATAATGTATACATATAGGAGCCCTGATTCTCCTTTAAGCAATGATATATGTATGGCTGCACTTAAATAGAAATTGTGGTAGATTGAACACATGTCAAAGGTGCCCAAAAAAGCCTTGGTCCATAATAAGTTGACCACGTGCTCGTCCTGTACTTAATTACATAGTTATATAGGTTGAAAGAAGACTTGTGTCCATAAAGTTCAGCATTTCTCACATCTGATTTTGTTGTTAATCCAAAGGAAGGCAAACTCCAAACTGGTTTTAAAGTTCCTCTATTTTTGGCCTAAAACTTGTTACGTTCTTTTCAATTTTCCACAATTCCACATAAAAACTGACAAATTTCATATAGGTTTCTTCTTATTTTGACCTTGCTTTAATATTTTTGGATACAATTTTCAATGATTTTTTAATATATTAAAATATCAAAAATGCATCTAATATTAAAAAAAATATTAATTTATATTAAAAAAGTACATCAATGGGGGCGGGGCTTGACCGCCGAGCTGGATGGACGTGGGGCACCTCGGCCCCCCGAGGAATCCCCAAAAATCTGCCCAAAACAACCCCATCTCGCCTGAAAAACCTTCAGCAGTAATAAAGAGGCAAGGGGACCTGAGCAATAACCCCCGGTGCGGCTGTCGGCTCCCGTCTTGCGGCGACGCCGACTGATGGACGGGCGGGATTGTGGCCTGCCGTGAGGCCCTGGCGGGGGAAGCGGCCGATCCCCCGCGCTTGGTCCGGCGGGACCTCTCGCTCGCCTTCAGAGGGCCCCGTTCTCCCCCCCTGTGGGCCGGGGGGGTTATCCCGGACCCCACCGGGGAAGTAGAGATCACCATCACCTATGATAACTGTGCAGGGGAAAATCTAACCTGAGACCGCATGGCACAAACCAAGATGGCTGCCGCGCCTTCTACAAGCCACAACATCGGAGCAATGGCTGGGCGCTGTCTGGAAACCGACGCTGATAAGTACACAGCGTACTGAAGGCGGCCAGCAGGCAACGGATAACCCTAAAAGGTCTGTGGGGACTATATTCGGACTCTGACCCTGCCTAAACATAGTGGAGCAATGGACATGGGGCACAAGCGCTACTCCCAACCCAAGGCTGGTAACAGCGGACACACTCCTGACCGGCAGGTACCCAAGCATTTCACAGCGTGAAACACAAGGAAGCCAGCCGACCAAGCACAGCTGCAGGAATGACCAAGCGACTGCCAACCACATACACCTACAGTCGATTTTACATATGCAGCCCCCCACAGAAAGCACTTAAAATGACTAAGCTTACATATGTACCCAACTCGACAAGCCCGGCTCTCTGCTGTTCCCTGGTGGCTAAATCTAATGAGTATATAGAAAGCTGTAACTGATGTTATTTTGCATAGCCTGTAATCCAACATACTTAAACCATACTAATTTCTAGCTCCATGTTAATAGTGAGCATGTTCGCTAATCCCTTTCCGTTTGTTTAGCTTGTGTTTAACGGTTTACAGCGAAAACCTACTCAGCTAAGCTAGAAACAGATAATACTTAGATTCCAATTGTTATGTTTCAACGTCATGTCATCTAATAACAAAAATGTGCACGGAACCACTTAGACATGCCATTATTGCAGGTACTCACAGCGTGTATTAAGTAAATCGTAAACAAAATATGGTACCTGAATGTAATCTTATCTAGGAGCCTTTATTATCAGGAAATGCGCATTGTCTAGCAAATACTATAACTGTTATCCACCTATGGTCTAAGCTTGTCTAGCAAATACTATAACTGTTATCCACCTATGGTCTAAGCTTGTTAATATAATATAAAATGAGGTTAATAATCCTAGGAGATTTCTGTAATCTGTTATAGTGACCCTAATCTGTACAACTCTTGCAAGTCTCCTTCTCTTTTTTCTGTACCACCATAATCACATGCCTCAATAAAATAAAGAATTCAAAAAAAAAAAAAGTACATCAATATATATTAAAATATCAAAATAATAAACCTTTTTTTCATAATATTAAATCATTTAAAATGTTTATGAAACTCTTAGAAATGATTTGAGCCCAAAATGAGGTATTATCCTTCCTAAATAGGGACACTTGGGAGGTAAAGAACATAGTTTATTTAACTAATCTGTTTCTTTCTATAAATAAAGTTTTGTTTTTTAGGGTGGCACACATCAAGCTGTGTGTACAGTGTCACCTACAGGCAGAAAGGAGTAGTAATAGTGTTCTATTTTCTGTTTAAAACCTTGAGGATGGTGCGTGTACCAGAATACACAATTTCCAATACCATGGGTTGAATACTTTTGCAAATGGTATGCCATGATGGAGGTAATTCTCATTCCTGGGCTACCATACGGTCTCAAAGGCAATATAAGCTGGAAAATTTCAATGTGTAAAAACTGAAATGCGCAAACACTTTAGTTGACCCTGTAACTTTCTAAAACGCCATAAAACCTGGACATGGTGGGTGCTGTTACACTCATGAGATATCGCAGAACACAAATGTGAGTGTTACAGAGCAGTAACATGTATAATGCTGATGATATTATTAGTGAAACGGCAGCTTTTTTGTGAAAAATGCAAAATACAAATATGAACAGTAACTTTGGCCAGGGTTTGTGCCTAAGTGGTTGCTAAAAAAAACTGGACATACCCCATTTTGAATACCCTGGGTTGTCTCTTACAAATGGTATGCCATGATTGGGTTAATTTTCATTCCTGGGCTGCTATACGGCCTCAAAAGTAACATAACAAAACTGGCAAATTTTAATGTGTATAAACTGAAAAGGGTAATGTGCTATATTTGACCCTGTAACTTTCCAAAATCCCATAAAACCTGTACATTATTTTTGAGACATCGCTGAATACAATTATGTGTATTTTATTGCGCTAAAAGTTAATAGTATTATGACATTCACAGTTAAAATGCCACGCAGAACTAAAAAAATAACAACTTTTTTATATTTTATTCATATTAAATTATGTTTCATACATAAATATTTTATGTGAAATATTTATTATTCTAAACTGAAAATATACTTTTTTTCCCTCTAATTTGAATGTGTTAACACACCACCCTAATACTACTGCAAAGAAGATGAACAAATAAATAACGGGAACAAATATTTAATTTTTACCTTTTTTGGTATCAGTAGTTTATGAATAAAGTGTTGTTTGGTCCTAGTTACATCTGTAAATACATTGTTCCAACCAAATGTATCGTGTTATGTTTATTGATTTTAAAGTCCTTCATAGTTAAAGGGTTAATGCACCAACTTCGAACAAACCCTTTCAGAGTTTCTATTAATATATTAAAACAATACCAAAAAACGTTCAGTGAAAATGTCTGGGGGAACAAAACACCCAGATGTCTGAAGGTATATTATTACAACCATATGTATTGGAAGAACTGCCAGTTCCTCAAGTGATTCAGTATTACTAAGCAGTATTACTATGCTGAGCTGTTAAAAAATGGTATATTAGAAAAATGAAATTTGGTATGGCTAGAAACAGAGTGAAAACATTAGAGCCATTATAAAACCAAAGTTGGAACCAAAGAAAAAATGGTCATTGGAGGGAATGCCCGTCTGCCCCGTCAAGGCAAACCCCCTAAGCCACTGACCTTTCACCTTGCTTCCTTGAGCTTCTGGCAAAGATACCTCTAATGAGACAGAAAGGGGTATTTTTATATATACCCCTATATACTTATTGACCCTTAATAGGGAACACATGGCATGGGCAGCAGCATTGTAACATAGTTGTGTGATACAAAAAGTGAATACAAATACAAAAGAACAAGTCCTGCGCCTCCAATGACCATTGGAGTAACTAAATAACCTCCATTTGTTTAAATATACATAGGGATTTAGGAGAGAGCGCAGGTATATTTTACTTTGGTTTTTACTGTATGTATTGGGGCTGATGTGTACTGTGGTCGTTGCTGCTGCCCAGGAGTGATGGGAGTGAGCGCAGGACTTATCTTTTTGTATTTGTATTCACTTTTTGTATCACACAGCTATGTTACCATGCTGCCACCCATCCCATGTGTTCCCTATTAAGGGTTAATAAGTATATAGGGATGTATATAAAAAATACCCCTTTCTGTCTTCCAATTCCAACAGAATTCAAATACACTAAATCTCTTTAATATAATTATTAATACATTATCTCTTCAATCGTGAAATAAATATATTCAATATTAGGAATGTATTGAAGATATTTTAGAAAATGTGTTTCAACCAAGAATGGAAGTCAGAATCCTTCTTTTATCTCTTTATCATATCTATCCATCCATTATCTATCCATCCATTATCTATCCATCAATTATCTATCTATCTATCCATCTATCTATTTAGAATTATTCAACCACCAAGAAATAGCTCAACACAACAAATGCTTCAAGTGGTTTCCTCGAATTCAACTGAGAATGCAATTTATAATGACTTCTCCAGTCTCAAAATTATTTAGCCCCGAAGGGAGGCTAATTGAGCTGTTGTCCATTCTCACCTCTCTTGCTACTTGTTTTCCTCTCCTTAAGTTTAAAGGGCAATCCAGACACGGACCTCTTGCTCACGGTGCCTAGAGGGATATTGGCTAGACCTCACTGATGATACCTTACAAGGTCGAAACGACTATCTAGGGTTGCTGTATCTCTCATGCAGAGGGAACTTGCTGGCATTTTGGATCTTGACTGTCCGTACGGGTGGGACCAGTCTGATATGCTTTAGATATTTTCTGTAATGGTACTAGATGAGCGGGGACCCACCGAAGGGCAGGCTAATTGAGCTGTTGTCCGTTCTCACCTCTCTTGCTACTTGTTTTTCTCTCCTTCATGGCAAGCATCATTAGTTCTTAGTGTTTTGTGTTTTGGATTCTTAGTGGCCTCCATTTCAGTAATATTCTTGGGTTTGCGTGCTGCAACCTCCTTCTTCAAATCCCACCAGAGATTTTGTATGGGGCTCAAGTCAGGTGACTGATGACCACTGTAGAATTTTCCAGGACTTCTTGTGTAACCAAGCCTTGGTGGAATTTGAGGTATGTTTGGGGTCATTGCCTTGTTAGATAGTCCAATGACACCCAAGCTTCCTCGGCTTCCTTCCCCTAGGATTTCCTTATCCTTCAATGAATCCATCTTGTCTTCAACACACTGCAGGTTTACAGTGCCAGAGGAAGCAAAGCAGTCTCAGAGCATCACTGACCCACCACCATGCTTAACTGTAGGCAGAGCGCACTTTTCAGCATGTGCTTCATTCTTCTTTCTCTAGACATACTGCTGATCCATTGAGCTGAAAAGTTCCAGTTTTGTTTATTTGCGCCACAGAAAAGAATCCCAAAACGTCTGTGACTTATTTCTATGATTTTGAGCATATTGGAGCTGACTTTTCTTGTGACGTTGGGTCAGTAGTGGTGTCCGTCTTTGAGTTCTAGCATAGAAACCTTCTGCGTTTAGTATGCTCCTTACTGTGCTCACTGAAACCTCAGTGCCACCAAGTCTTGCTGCAAGTCTATTGCATTCACTCAATGGTTTTTCACAACCTGCCTTCTCAGAAATCTCAATTTGCAGCCATTGATAGCTTCCTGTTTCTGCCCCATCCAGGTAGTGTAACCACTGTTCCTTCAACTTTCAACTTGCAAACTATGCTTCCAGGTTCTCTAGAAACATTCTGTGCCTTCGCTATCTTTTTGTATCCCGTCCCTTGTTTGTGAAGGGTGATGATCTCTTCTTTTGACTTTGTGGACCATTCTTTTGACTTAGCCATATTTATAACAAGCAGTCAAAAGTGACACTCAACAAACCACTAGACATTTCAGATATTTCAAGTGTTCCTGCTCAGGCACACCTGGTGCACTTGAGACAACACTTGTTTTGCATATTTGTGCTGTTGTGAGTGATTCTATTTAGGGGGTACAATCATTTTGAGACTGGAGAAGTCATTATATGTTGCATTTTCAGTTGAGTTTGGGGAAAACACTTAAAGCATTCATTATGTTGAGCTATTTCACTTGCTTTTGTTTGATTTGTTTATTGCAAAATGCTGACAGTCTGTCAATTTTGACAATAAACCTGATTGAAAACCTGATTTTCAATGGTGATTCCATCCATTCCTCTCTCCCTCTTTCCATCCCTGTTTAACATTTATTAGTCACCATCCCAGGCCATCCATTCCTTGGCTCATGCTAATATCCATATAATACCCATCATTCTCAGCCATACAGTCCCATATAGACTTTGTCCTCCTCAGTCATATAGTCCCTTTTTTATACTATTCACAAAATACCTATCAGTCTTAGCCATCCATTACCACCAGGATTCCACC